ATGTATTTAATTTTAGGGGTAAAATATCTGTTATTACGGTAGGTATTAATAAAGATGCTCTCATTTATTTGATAAACTCAACAGTGCTATTATAATACGATTATAATTATTCCCCAGTTATGAATAAAATAACACAGCAGACTGGGCTGTCTAACCTTGAGTGGTAACCAGTTTAGGAGAACTGGAACCCCATCCGAATCCAAGTTAAAGGGGGGTTGTACTTGGGGATAGTAACTATTATTGCAGGAAGTGTAGTGGCATGATGAACGCTGTGATATAGTCGAGGCTAGATACAGTAAAAGAAGGGTGTACGAAATAGACAAGAATATAGAATATCTTATATTTAACACACACACACACACACACGCACACACATGTATATATATAATATTATATGAAAACATTACTTAACTTTTAAATGTTACTTTTATCCCGACTTCGAAGTTTCTTGGTAAAATTTCTAGTCTTCAGGGGCTGTGGTTTTAAACGGTCTATTCCAATTTTTTTCCCCAATTTTTTTCAATTTATATATATCACCATGATGAGGACTGAAATTGATCGGTCAAAATGTTATTTTAATACAAGTAAACTTACAAAAAGGCCTCTGGCTAGTGTAATATTTAATGAGCTATTCTGGTTGACTGTTACAAGCGAGTAGTGAGTTAGATACTTAACGGGTGCTCTGTATTTGTGGACTTTAAGAAATAAAATAAAAACAAAACAGTAAATAAAAAATGGTAATGGCTTTTCTGAAAGTTATACTGTTAGCAACATCACCTATCCAAAGAGGTTTGAGGCCCCGAATAATGTCGGATATGGAAATGGCTCTTCTAATACCTATAATCTTTCTAAAGGCACGTATGCCAAGTTATTTGAGCAGCCAAACTATATTGAAAATATTAACGACTTCTCAAAGTTATAATGTTAGCAACAGCATCTATATAAAAAGATTTGAGCATCCGAACAATGTTGGACATGTTACTGTTTCCAAAGTTCTGAACAACATAATATTATGCAAGCTATATCCTGTATGTGTTTTGTGTACCTTTGATAGGAATTTGATTTCAGATCAAAGTGCAAGCGTGGCCCCCTCTTTGGGAGATCAGTGTAGCACAGTTTTCTCCTTTTGTATTCATACTATTCATGTCGTAAAAGTTTGCAGTGTATAAATTTATAAACATCTATTTATTTATAACTAGCAGTAGAGCCCGGCGTTGCCCGGGGATGTAACAGTAAGAGATAGATCAAGTATCCACCATCATAAAGACTGAAAAATAAAATTGACAAGGATTATTGTTTAAGGTTGACGGACACGCATGTCTTAATTAGTTTTATTTTTTTGTTTTTTATGAATTGGTCAAACCCAAACTCAAACAAAAACATTGTTTTCAATCGTTATGAGTCTACCGATTGAATATAGTTTTATTATAAACAATTGTCTTGTAAATGGAATTTTAAAAGCATTCTGAATGTAAAAATAAAGAAAAACGCGTGCAAGACAATTAGAAACATTACCTACCAAAAAAAAAAGTGAAGTTTTGTTGAAATCGGTTGAAAAATGTAGGAAATGCGAACCCATTTATAAAGGAACACACACACACACACACACACACACACACAAACACACAAACACACAAACAACCTGGGTTTTATAATAAGTATAACTTGATATGAGTTGTCCCCTTTTCATTTTCACAGCGATGCCTCTCAATCATGTTTTCAAATTGAATTGTGTTTTTCCAAGTTTTGGCGCTGTCAGAACCACCGCAAGGTAATTTTACGTAGTCCTGTGAAGTTTTGTTGAAATCAGTTGAAAAATGTAGGAAATCCGATCCAATATATAAACGTACACACGTACACACACACACACACACACACACACACACACACACACACACACACACACACACACACACACAACCTGGGTTTTATAATAAGTATGATATATCTACTGTTGCTATCATCTCAATTTGGGGTATACCGAATGTAACAGCGAAATTGTCCAAATCGTTTAACAGCATAATTGAGTTTTTTTTTTTTTCCAGATTTTCAAATAAGTCGTTTAGCCATAACGGCCTCATTTGTCGTAAGAATCACTAAAAAAACCTATGAGTTATTCAACTAAAAAGGGAGCAAGTTAAAATTGTGTCAGTCCCACTGTTTTCCCAACTAAACAATGGGGAGAAGAAAAATATTCAGGTCTTCAGTGATACTATAAACATTTATACTCTGGCTTTCCATCTTCAAAGTCCAGTCAAGAACCATCAAGATAACGGCGAATAAGTTTTAAAAATAGAAGGAACAGTAGTGAGGAAAGGCTACAGCAGGAAAATGGATCAACGTTTCATCTCAGAGCTAAATACATTTGTATTATTCGAAGTAGAGTACAATAGTGTCATAAAAACCTCTGAGAATTCTAGTAAGAATAGTTTATGCAAATTTAGGTAATCCGTATGGGTAGACCTGAGGAGGATGATATCCAGAGAGCTCAATGTAAAATTCAGAGCAGATATGTTTGAATAAAAGACAGACCACGTTAAGATTCCATGTAATAAGCTATTTCACCATAACCCCTTTAACAGGGTTCTGGATCATCAGACTTTACTTCCAAAAGCTGAAATGAAAAATGAAAAGAAATTCACACGTTTTTTACGGACCTCATCAACTGTACGTAAAGTTAACGAAGTGAGGTGGGAGAGAGGATATGAGTGTGTCATATGTATCATTTTAGTTTCCTATTTTAACCCCAGTGTGTCGGCTAGATGTTGCTCAAATTTAACGCGTCTCGTCTCTAGATATAGATGGTTAAGGGGTGAATGATAAGAACGACATTAAAGGAAGGAGTTACAACAACCCCAATAAATTACACGACAGGTTTCATTCAAATTCTTAGACGCTGTCAGTTCGTGTTACTTTAACGTGCATATTTAGGAGGTTAAGGTTTGATAAATATCTAAATGTTAAAACAATCTACGATTACAATCTATTATCAACGGTTATTCCCATTTAAATAATTTTATTTTCCACACTGGGGTAGTATCTTTCAATCTCTATTAAAATACCAATCTAAACTTTCCCTTCGTGCTATTTAAAATTCATTGATAATTGGGTACATAAAAACAATCACGAGTTTACTTAATGAACAAAAATCAAAAACAATCACGAGTTTACTTAATGAACAAAAATCAAACGAATAGGTGTCAACCTAACAAGCTATAAGATAAAAGTTTTAAAGGAAAAAAAAAAAAGAATTACTAAATATAAAATGGATTACTCTTTCAATGTTCTGTCTATGGATTCTTCCAATCGACTGCTTCATAGAAAATACCCAAAACTCCACCGAATTTCAAATTAATTTCTTCGTAGATTGTTTTAACATTTAGATATTTATCAAACCTTAACCTCCCAAATATGCACGTTAAAGTAACACGAACTGACAGCGTCTAAGAATTTGAATGAAACCTGTCGTGTAATTTATTGGGGTTGTTGTAACTTCTTCCTTTAATGTCGTTCTTATCATTCACCCCTTAGCCATCTATATCCAGAGACGAGACGCGTTAAATTTGAGCAACATCCAGCCGACACACTGGGGTTAAAATAGGAAACTAAAATGATACATATGACACACTCATATCCTCTCTCCCACCTCACTTCCTCACTTCGTTAACTTTACGTACACTTGATGAGGTCCGTAAAAAACGTGTGAATTTCTTTTCATTTTTTACATTTCAGCTTTTGGAAGTAAGTCTGATGATCCAGAACCCTGTTAAAGGGGTTATGGTGAAATAGCTTATTACATGGAATCTTAACTTGGTCTGTCTTTTATTCAAACAAATATATATATATATATATATATATATATATATATATATATATATATATATATATATATATATAAAAGTATTCTTTAATTTTCATTTCTAACTTACAACGGTTCAAAGCTTAATCTAACAATTGGACAATTTTGCTGTTACACGATTTGGACAATTTTGCTGTTACACTCGGTATACGTTTCATTTTTGTGTTACCATCGATATCTTATCTATATTAGCTGACATGATGTGTTCTACTTCACTCGATTTATTTCACATCTGTTGTTATATCTGACCGATCTTTTGGGGGTTTCTACCTTCATATTATTCGAGAAGGCGTGTCACAGTAACAGTATTACTGCTGAATATGGCATTCGGATTTGAAGGCTTAATGGAGGTCTACTGGAGCGAAAACGGTACTGTGGAAAGTGCCATATTCAAAGTGATATCTTCAGAAAACTCAACAAATAAGAGGGGGAAAGTTAAATTCGGTTACTGCCCACCCAGTTTTCGTTTGAAATCACCCTGGAAGAATTGTGCCAGTTTGTTTACCATGGTCATTTAGCTTTGTCTTGTTCAATGGTCAATAGCAAGTAGTTTATTCGCTTCATTTGTGGATATGGTAGTCAATCTCATTCATTTCCGAACGGGTGTGCGCAATTCTTCACTGTCTCTATTATCCTGTTGTATAACTCGTGTTCAGGTCTTTTCTCTCAAATCTCCATTTTCATTTTCTAGTTGAACCATTCTTTTCCTATTCTTTCTTTCCCTTTTTTTTTAATCTCTATTCTTCTCTCTTGTTCTCTCTTTACCCGTTATCGCTGCTTTGTTTTTAATATTTCTTCCTGTTCATTCCCAATATCACGTTTACTTTGTTATTTAGACGACAGTTTGGTATGTGGCGAGAAGATAACAGTTTCAACATGAAATTGTGGAGTTTGGAATTAATTTGAGAAAAAGACAAAACCAAATGAACAATAAGAATGTTTAATAGATTCAAGTTTTCATTGACGACATTTTGTTGGACTCATAAATCTGAGGGAAAACAGTCATTTACAGGCGGATATTTTTCGTTGTTGTTTTTTGTACAATTTTGTGTGATTTTTTTATAATCTTCAGTTTACTCACAATTCTCTTCTCTCATGGTTTATCTCTCACTCTCTCACGCATTCTTTCTTGCTTTCTTAGAATCCTTTGTTACTCCATATAATCTTTCTTTCTTTCTTTCTTTCTTTCTTAGAATTCTATCTCACTTCGCCTAGTCTTTCTTTATTTATTTTCACCTACATCTTTCTTTATGATCATACTTTGATTTCTTTCTCGCGTTCTTTCTTTCTTTCTTTCTTAGAATCTAATTCACTTTATTTAATCCTTCTTTTTTAA